CAACCATTTACACAAACTTCTTAGGCAAGTTAAGCCCTATTTCTTCTTCGCATTCAATTTCTTCTGTCAGCGTCAAATTTTCGAAGCCTACTTTCCTTGTGTCCTGGGTATGACGATAAACTACATCCGCGTCCTGGATATGGCGATAAACTTCATCCGCGTCCTGGGTAAGACGATAAACTACGTCCAACAGCAAGGCCTATGATAATATGTTTTTGAAAAAATAATATTACCAGCTATACGTTTCTTGAAAAAAATATTACCAGCTATACGCTTTTGAAAAATAATATTACCAGCTATACGTTTTTAAAAAATATTATATTACCAGCTAAACGTTTTTGAGGAAAAAATATTAACAGAAATATATTTTTGATAAAACAAAAATATTACCAGAAAAAAAAAGTTGTCGGCATTAAATGACCCATTGAGATGTTTATATGCCGCAAAACTAACCAAACGAAACCAAACCTACTTTCTTCATTATGCGAATTAGAATTTTAAAGCTATAAATATCCTTTTGTGCTTTTATTTTCTCAAAAACTTCGTTGCTGCTAACATGTTGAGTCTACGTTATTCTCACCATCCTTCTGGAGATTGTCCATCATTCACCGCCATAGCAGACGACTAATAATATATAACAGTTAAGTACAGTTTTCATTTATTTCTACCGAGGTTTTCCTGTCTCTTGATGCTTTGCTTAGGTTTTTTGAACATCTTGCGCTATCCCTATGCAACTTCCCGTTTCTGTGTCGCATTTTCCGTCCTATGTTAAAACACTTCAAAAATACAGACCAGTTTAAGGTTCCATTGTTATAATTTATTTCACCAGAAATTTTTCCTGGATCCTCAGATCTCACTTCAAGGATATATATATATATATATATATATATATATATATATATATATATATCATAAAGAGATAATCATATATATATATATATATATATATATATATATATATATATATATCATAAAGAGATAATTATATATATATATATATATATTCATACATTTCATTAAATAATATAGACAAGTGTTGTCTATTTATTTTATGTAAATTCTTTTCATAACGTCTGATAATCTTAATAACATTATCATTAAACGATAAAAGAAAGTCACAATATTGATACATATTTTTTAATCCAATCTAATACACATTAATATATATATATATATATATATATATATATTATAAAAAGAGGTAATCATACAAAGAATTAATCAATAAAGTTAATGTAAGTAATGGCGAAATCTCTTCGATAACAAATTTAATAGAGTATTAACCTACTAATAATTTGTTGAATGAAGCGATCCTTATGTTTAAAAAAGTAAGATGGAGTTAGTGTTTCGGTGCTAGTACTTTTGGAAAATGTTCACTTTTTCATTATCAGACTTTAATTGACAAAATAAATATATTGTAGACCAATGGATGTTTCTTTTTTCAGAATATGCAATTTATTAACGGTTACATAATTTTGCTAGAATTGTATTTGAAATATTTCAAATGAGAACATTATTTTAATATAGAAATGTTGTAAATTGACGAATGTTTTGTTGTAAGTGTTTTTCAGTTAACGTGACAGGGACAAACTTGTCCAATTATTAGAGTAATGGTTTAGTACTTTTCCATAAATTTTGTACTGCGGTTCAGGTTTTCATACATATATTAAGTAGTACAGTATATATACTATATGGTATGGGATAATCATACAAAGAATTAATCAGTAAAGTTAATGTAATTAAAGGCGGAAACTCTTCGCTAACAAATTTAATAAACCATTTACCTACTAAACATTCGATGTATGACGCGATTCTTATGTTTAAAATTGTAAAATGGATTTGATGTTCCGTTGTTAAATTAATGCTTTATTACATTTGTGTTTGTATATATATATATATATATATATATATATATATATATATATATATATATATATATAATTATTTATATATTATATGCGCAGTACTTATTAGAAAGCGCTCAATATCGAGAAATTTTCGCTACACTTCTAATCTTTGAATTTCAACATACAAATGCGTATGTCTAGACACAACACCACCCATATACATACATATGTCAAATCCGAAACTGTCCACATATGTTTATATATGTATGAGTCCCGACGGACGAGCAATTGTGTATGTGTGTCTGCGTACCTCATCGGGTGTACGGACATGCATCTATGTTTGCGTTAGCACGATGACATCACGACGACGATTCCCCCCCACTCCCATAATAACACCAATACACGCAATCTACATGAACCCAAATTTTTAAAAAAATTAATTACTTTGTCTGACGATCGCAAAAGCGTGAAACCCAGGGTCACAAACTCACGTCAATCCAACAATATATATATATATATATATATATATATATATGTATGTGTGTGTGTGTGTGTGTGTGTGTGTGTGTGTGTGTGAATACCGGGTCTAACAGCAAAATCGTCCAAATCGTGTAACAGTAAAACTAACGAAGGGAGGGCAAGATTTTCCACTT